AAACTTTTGAGAACTACTTGTGTTTTTCAAAGGTATACCACTCCACTGAAAAGTTATGCTTATGTTTTAAGATTTTAGCCTAGTTTAAATAAATAATTAAGAAAGTGTATTTCTTATTTTACTTAAAATAAAAACTAAAAAAATATCTTATTTTACTTATTTTATTGAGAGTCTCGTCTAGAGGGTACTCTCGGAACCCAAAACTGTACTCCATCTCTTTATAGCAATACAAAAGTTAACGTTTATCAAAAAAAGAAACTAAAAAAAATTTTTTTACAAACTTGATTGATTCCTTAGAGGAAAACCTTTAAGGAATGATCCCTATTTTATAATGATTGTGCAAGGAAACCTTATTTATTAGGACTCAAAAGTTTTATACTTTGTAAGGAGAGAGATGTGATCTAAAGGTTATTGTTAAATCAAGCAAAATTGATGGCCCTCATTGATGATGATGCACACAAATATAATGTCCTAATAAATTTAGTATATATAGTATATATATTTATAAATTATAGTGCATTTTATAGATGACTAGTTGATTGTATGTGCGTTGCATGTGCTTTAGTGTACATTAATCATCAAATGAAAATATATATTTGTATTTTTAGTTTGAAATCAAAATATTAGCATAATAAATGTGGATGAAACATAACAAATATTGGAATTTACGATCTTAAATTAATTATTTAAAGAATTGTACGAACTATTTAGGGATTAAACTTATGAGCCACACTATGAAGCTATGGGAGAGAGTGGTTGAGCAATGTCTATGGTGTGAAACGAGAGTATCAGAAAATCAGTTTAGTTTTATGCTAGGGAGGTCAACTATCAAAGCCATTTTCCTACTTAGGCAACTGATTGAGAAGTTTAGAGCAAATGGAAAAGACCTCCGCCTGGTTTTTATTGATTTAGATAAAGCATACGATAGCATACCTAGAGATTTAACTTTGTGGGTATTGGAAAGAATGGGGCTACTAGAGGATATGTTAACATAGTGAGAGATATCTTTGAGGGAGCGCTAACTAGTATGCGAACAACTACTAGAGAGACAATGAGTTCTTAGTGACAATGGGCCTACATCTAGGGTAGCACTGAGCCCATGTATTTTTGTTTTGGTTATGGACGGCAAGACTAGCTAACCAAGCACCTACAAAATGAGGTACCATGGTGTATGTTGTTCACGGAGGACATGGTTTTGGTTGATGAGACTAGAAGCGTCGCCAATGCAAAGTTTGAACATTTGAGGGATGTCTAGAATCTAAAGGCTTTAAAATTAACCAGACTAAGACATAATATATAGAATGCAAGTTTAGTAATAATACGAGTAGAAATGAGGAAGTAGTTAAGATTGATGGTCAAGAAATACCTAAAAGAGGCTATTTCTGATATCTAAGGTCGATAAACCAAGAGAATGGAGAGATTGAGGAAGATGTCACACACAGAATTAGAGTTGGGTGAGCAAAGTGGGGATGTGCATTTGGAATTTTATGTGATTACCACATTCCTTTGATACTGAAGGGGAAGTTCTATAAGACGGTTGTAAGACTTTCCATGCTTGATGGAACAAAATGTTGGTTGGTCAAAAAATAACATATCCTTAGGATGAATGTAGCTGAGATGAGCATGTTGACATGGATGAGTGGCAAAACAAAAAAAGATGGAATTAAGAATGAATACATACAAGGGAATTTAGGTGTGGCTTCAATAGATGATAAAATGAGGGAAATTGGTCTTAGGTGCGGACCATGTGTAGCATAGATTTAATACAACACTAGTTAGGAGTTACGATTTGGTTCAAGTGGAAAGCTCTAAAAGGGCAATGGAAAGGCCCAAAGGACATGGATAGAGTGAGAATATATATAATAATTTTTGGTCTTACTGAGGGGATGTCCTTTGACAGAGAAGAATGGAGGAATATGATTCAAGTAGCTGACCTTGCATAATTGGGATATGGCTTGGATGATGATGATGGATTATTTAAAGAGGCGACCTTTCTAGGCCCCCTCTTTTTGTACTCAGTATTTTGGTTCATGTAAAGAGCATCGGAATTGTGGGCTGCCTTTCCCACATCTCGTGGGCTTTTTTTGTAAAGTTTACCCAATTGGAATTTCCCACTATTATGAGTTGTTTTTATCTATTTTATAAGGTACAAATGTTTCTCAATTCCTATTGTGCATGGATTTTATTTATCATTTTTAGAATTTAATTTAGTTCTACCATATTTTCTTCCTGCTTTCCATCTTTCTCATAAGACATGATTTGGTATAAGCATTCATTGTTCATAAAGTAATGGTTATTATCAATTTCAATTTTCTTATTTCAATGGGTGCTACACAGCTATCTCTAATTTGCATAGAAATTGAGATCTGTATATATTTCTTGTAGAATAGAGTAGTCTTCAATTTTAATAGGAACTCCTTTGATCCTATTTTTATGGAAATTTTTATTGCGTTCCCCAATTTTATCTCACTTCTCTCTCTCTCAACCAATTTCCTTAAACCATGGATTGTCAAAAATTCTAGTGTCGCAAAGTATTCACCTTTCCCAAACTCCTATCAATGTTTTAAAAAACGGTCCGCCTGGCGCCTAGGTGCCCGCCTAGGTGGCCTGGACCAAAAATCCGCCCGCCTAGACCCAGGCGGCCCTACACGGGCGGATGTACCTGGGCGGGCGCCTAGGCGGGCTAGGCGTTTTTCTTTTTTTTTAAATTACGGGGCGCCCAAGGTTCTGGGTACCCGCCTAAGTGCTGGGCGCCAGGTAGGCTGCCTAGTTACAAGTCTCTCATACAACTGTGCCTTCTATTTGAACTCTTATGGCTATTTCCTTCTAGATATACGCCCAAAAATTAGTTTATGGTTTTGAGATAGTTCCAAGTACTCTCTCTCTCTCTCTCTCTCTCTCACAAACACTTATTTTTTAACTTTCTGAATTTTCTAGATCTACCTCTTGTTCAATGCATAACCCATTTCACCTTAAAGAAGAAAGAGATACATGATTTTGCATATCCTTGAAATAATACTGTTACGTTACATTTGTCCTCTGAAAAACATCTTCCCATACTTTCAATTCAAATTGAATCATTATTAGTTCACTTTAGTTTGTTTTGCTTTATTTATTTATTTATTTTTCTTCATAAGTGATGTTATTCACATTAGTTTGCAAATATTAAAACCATCAAATATTTGAATGTGAGATGATTAAGAAAGATTCTTTTTATCTTAGTTTATATGTATTGATCTTGAGTTGCATTAAACCCTTGGATATTGCCAAAAATTTTAACTAGAGCCAAACGATTATTTTACTTAAAAATGGCCTCTAATTGAGCATACATGTATTTGTTGTTTTAAATAATTACGTAGATATATTACACAAATGTCTCTTAAATAATTAGGTAGAAATATTACTTTATTACCGTAAGTTTGTGTTTGTATATTGTAATATATTATATGCTCTTGATTTGACTCCCTTCAAAGAAAGGTAGTAAAGGAAGACCATTGAGTCCCTACTTTATAGTTACTATTGCAAGCATCCCTTGTGGGCATGGGCACGGGGAGGGAGAGAGGGTGCCAATATGCTGCAAAAAAGATTGGCAGGATAAATTTCCTTTCAAATAAGAATTAGACTCATGTTCTTCATTTTTTTTTTCCTCTCGAAGGAGAAATAGAAAGAAATAGAGAGAGACTTGATTTTTCCATTTTTATTGTAAATATGAATCCCTACACTGTTATTGGGTAATCTGATGATTTGTGTTGTTGTTGTTGTTGTTGCCGTTGTCATTGTCATTGTTGTTGTTAGTATTAGTATTATTATTATTGTTGTTGTCATTGTCATTGTTGTTGTTATTGTTGTTGTTAGTATTAGTATTAGTATTATTATTATTGTTGTTGTTGTTGTTGTTGTTGTTGTTGTTGTTGTTGTTGTTGTTGTTAGTATTAGTATTATTATTATTGTTGTTGTTGTTGTTAGTATTAGTATTATTATTATTGTTGTTGTTGTTGTTGTTGTTGTTGTTGTTGTTGTTGTTGTTGTTGTTGTTGTTGTTGTTAGTATTAGTATTATTATTATTGTTGTTGTTGTTGTTGTTGTTGTTATGGTTATTGTTGTTGTTGTTGTTGTTGTTGTTATTATTATTATTATTATTATTATTATTATTATTATTATTATTATTATTGTTGTTGTTGTTGTTGTTATTGTTATTGTTATGGTTATGGTTATGGTTATGGTTATGGTTATCGTTAGCGTTAGCGTTATCGTTATCGTTATTATTATTATTAACCAAAACTTTACACTAATGAAGCTCTTAGAGATTTGAAATACTTGAAAAATATAGGGGTATTCTTGGACAGGATATGCCCTTTTTATTGTTTTCCATGTTTTTAGGTGAGTTGGTTCTAATTGCTTTGTAGATTTCTTTATTTTTATCAAATACATTTGAAAATCCAACGAAGTAAAAATTGAAATACACAGAAACTAGTAAGGTATTTTGGGAATATGACATGGCACACCACCATCCCCGATTCCGTTTTTAGTAATATAGTGTGAGTCGTGCTTTTTTGCTCCATTTTTGTCATGATTCTCTTGCGAATCAATAAATGGCGGACAGAGTGGGGGACCCACCAGAGGTTATTTGTGGGTTCCACACACTCCATCATCATCCCTTATTTCATTGGCTCCTCATGCACCACCATCTCCGATTCCATATTAGTAATATATAGTATGAGTTGTGCTTTTTTGTTCCATTTTTGTCATGATTCTCTTACGAATCAATAAATGGTGGACAGAGTGGGAGACCCACCCACCCATTTGTGGGTTTCACACTCCCCATTATCATCCCTTATTTCATTGGCGCTGATGACCCAAATGAACCGTGTTTTTTTTTTCCATTGTCCATGGCATTATTGGATACTTCTCAATTAAATGGAGCATAATAGCTCTGCTGAGTTTTCTAATGGCAATTTATTTGTCTGGTGCTCTAACGGCAATTTATTTGCCTTTGCCAGTTTCTCATAATGATGGCGACTGGACCTGCCCACAATGTGGAAATGTGAACTTTGGATTTAGAACTGTCTGCAATCGAGCAAAATGTGGTGCTCTCAGACCCCCTACTACTCCGGTGAGTGATGTTTATTGTTTGTGTTGATTATGTCAATTGTCAATGGATTACCTGTCTGATGTTCTTTTTTCTTTTTAGATTCTCTTATTTAATCATTAAATAAATAACCACTTCATTTTTAAATACTTAATTGAGTTGGATGTTAAAGAATATGAGGATTGTCAATATGGTTAGTCAACAAACTTGTTCACATTCTTTGACAACTTTGATGGTTATGTATGAGGACCTGCTTGTGCATTTTTGCAGGCTATGTAGGGCTGGTCTCTCTCTCTCTCTGTGCCATTTCGCCTCGCTGTCTCTCTTGTCTTTTTTGTTCTGATACCTCATTACTATTCACTCTGTTTTGTTGATAGTGCTGGGAGACTCTCTCTCTCCTCTTGCTTCTTATCCGTACTGTCCCATTGTCCCTCTTATCTTGTTGTTCTGATGCTATATATAATCTCTTTGTGTTCTTGTTAGGTACAGGGTGTTATGCATGAAACTGTTTGTCATTTTATCTTTCATGTTTGAGAGAGAGTGGTATGAAACTGTTTGTGTCATTTTATTTTTCTTGTGCGACAGAGAGAGGGAGGGATGAAGCCTTTATGTGCTAGGAGAGTTTCCTGGGTGTGGGTGGGGTGAAGGGGAGGGTTCTCACAATTGGAGGATAAAGAAGTGTTGGAAATTGTTGTACAAAAAAAAGTAGTGTTGAAAATAAATGCATTATACATGTGATCACTGTAGAAGGGTAAAAAGTGTTCAAATGAATACATGTTCCTTTGGAAAAAGGGTGTGGGCTTGTGAACGGATTCTTTATATTGTCAAGTGCCTCTGATCCATCATGTAGTAGGTTTTGTCATGTCTCTCCTGGTCATTTATTTTATTGCAGCAATGCTGAAGGTTTTGTTTAGAAGAGTTAAATTATATTGTTCTTTTAATTTTTTGAGCACCTTAGTGAGCACCTTGGTAGGGCTTTCTCCTATTTATTTTCTTATGTATTTCTAGCCTCTGGGTTGGATACTGGGGTTTGTGTTTCCTCTCTCTATCCCATTGGGCAGTGCCAATCTGATGCACATAGAAGGTTATTGCCAAATTCCTGGCTAGTAGTTTGAGGAACGTCCTAGGTGGTCTAATTTCCCCATCCTCAGTGTGCTGTTGTCAAGGATAGGCGGATTCTTGATGGGGCACTGATTGCACACCAGCACATTGAGGCAAGGTATAGAGCGAAAATTCCTGATGTTATATGTCAATTAGACCTTGTAAAGGCCTATGACCTCATCGAGTGAGACATACTAGAGACCCAGACAAAATTAAAGAGCTAATGGGTTTTGGAATTAAGTGGAGATCCTGGATACAGGTGTGTTTATCTTTGGCCTCCTTTTTGGTAATATTGAATGGAGCCTCTATGGATACTTCTGGAGCATTGAATGGAGCCTCTATGGATACTTCTGGAGCGGTTGATGTATTCGATAAGGGATCCATTATCCCCCTTTTATTTACTATCATTGCATATGCTTTCAGTCTCATGATCGACAGGATCTATAGACAAAACATTATCCAAGGAATCCGGGTGGAGATAGAAGAACCCATTATCTCTCATCTGCAATGTGCATACAATATGCTTGTCTGCTTTGGTCCCTCTGAACAGCAGCTAGATGCTCTATGGCTTTTTTTATGATGTTTTGGATTTGCACCTGAACTCCGGATAAATATGAAGAAAACAAATGTCGTAGGAGTGGATATGGAACGAGGAGGTTGAAAGATTAGTGAATTATGTAGGAGTACGAAGCAAATACTTGGCTCACCTTTGTGCAGGTGAAAGCCCTAAAAAAGCCATGTGGGATAAAGTAACTGAAAGATTTAGAATGCCAATGGCTGTCCTATGAAAGCTATAGATCTCTTGCAAAAGAAATTCTTGTGTAAGGGATCCTCAGCGGGCCACAAATGTCACTTGGTGAAGTGGGAAAATGTGTGCCTATCAAAGAAATGCAGAGGACTGGGAATTAGGAAATTAGCAGAGGTTAATGATGTTTTAGTGGGAAAATAACTAAGGTGATTTTGGTCTAAGGGGAAACCAGCTATTGAGGAAGGTGATAGACCATAGATATTACATATGCACACTCCATTCTGGGTAAACTGTTAAGATTACAGCTAGAAGCAACACGGGTGCAAGTGCATAAGAGGACATTGTGAAAGTACATTGCCTTTTCTGGGTGTATGTGAGGTTCAAGCCTGGGGTTGGAATAAAAGTTAGCTTTTGCAGTCCAATTGCATGAGATGGAATACTTTGGAGGTGGATTGCCCCAACATAGGCGGCCTGGACACTGACCCACAAGCATCTATAGACAGTTTCTGGATCTAAAACTTGGTGACCAACTTGGTGGTTCAAATTTAGGCATAATTTGAGAGATTGGGAGGTACAAGAATTCTGTGGACTCATGGAAAGACTTCAAGCAGCGGTTCTTCCGAGGAACAGAGAAGACTCAATAGTATGGAGTCCACATGGCAAGTGAGTGTTCATGGCAAAATCTCTTTATAAGAAGCTGTCTGATATGAATACTCGTCATTGAATGTGTGGCAAGGAGCTTGAAGGCTTCCACCTTGCATCCAAGCTGTGGTTTGGGTTATCATGTATAGGGACGAGGAGAGTGTGCACTGTGAGATCAGTAGCAATATCTGGTTCATTTTTTGCTGAAATATCCAGGTTTTGCCGGAGAAGGCTACTCGGGTAGTGTGATTACCTGGTTCAAAAGGAGAATACCTGCCCTGTTGGCTAAACGATATGTTTAATGAGATCTGTGATAGGCTGAGCAATCTTCTGATGTCCATAAATCTTTCATGAAGCAGATGCTTTGGCATGGGAAGAGATCTCAAAGCCTTTTCTGACAGTTGAATTGCTTAGTGAGTAGTGTGTACTTCTCTAGAGTTTCGTGTCCGACAGTTACTATGTTTAGTATGTAGCAGGTAGAATGAAAGTCTTGTGTAAATAGACCCATTTTGGTACATGGAAATTTGCTTGTTAATCGATCAGTTCAAAAATTAATGAAAAAGAGTAGGCAATCAGAAATAGGAAAATGGTTTTTATCCCCATCCCTGATGAAGGACTCATTTTGTGGAAACTCAGCCTAGTGCCATATTATGGTCGTTACGGAGTGCACATTTGGGAGTTCAGCAATAGGATTCAGGGGGTTTTTGGCAACATATTTTAACAATCAATGGAAAGCTAAACATGGTGCTAAAACCCCAAAAGAGTCCAGTCCTGTGACTGGATTTCCCATTTACAGGCACCATTAGACTTTGATGGCTGCTCGACAGGAAACCCAGGCTGACAGGTACTGGGGGCATTTTCATGTCTCATACAGGTGAATACTTGCTATGTGCCTCACGGAAGCAGCAGCGCTAGTTACTGGACTTTGGTTCATGCAGCCTGAATGGAACTCTCTTTTGGTCAAATGTGATAGCTGGGAGAAATGGGATCCACTAACCCCCATGATATGGTACCTGTATTCTTGATGAAGTTCAAGAAAGATGCAGATACTTGCTTGTTGATTTTATGCATACTTGAAGAGAGTAGAACATGTTAGCGGATTCTTTGGCTATTTTTGAAAGGAATGTAAAGACGATTGTTTATCCCAATATTAATACAGCAGTAGTTGACCGTCTCCTCAGAAAAAAAAAAAAAAAAAGAACACCACAGCCAATTTTGTGTTGACTTTTCTATATTTATCACTTTTGCCAAAATCAATAAGGTCAAGTTATTGGTAAAAAAATAATTTAACCAGAGATTTTTTGACGTAGTTTTTGATTTGGGAAAGTATATGATGACACCATTTACCTTTAGTACAAGGTGATCACAATTAATCTTGACCATTGGATGTGAAATTGGGTGGCTGCTGTATTTATTTCATTGATCAAGCTCAAAGTTCAAAAGAAATTTTTTCGAACTTTTTGATGGACTCAAGCTATCAGATTTCACATTGGATGATTATAAGTAATTGCGACCTCCTTGTGCCAAAGGTTGTATACAATCCCTTTTGATGTAATATTTTATGAGCTAAAACATCTTTTGATATATGAGGATATACTAAGGCTTTTGTTTGTTTTCTATGCATAAAGCCCTTGTGAAGCTCCCTCATGTCATGCATAATGGATATTCTCTTTTCTAATGTCCATTATTTTTATCTCCATCACGGGCTCCTGTGCAAGCAAATTTACCTTTATCAATTTCCTCAAAAATGTAGACGATGAAAGAATTTGTTGTTCCCTTAAAGAGGAACACTAGACATTTTTTACTACCTCGACCTGGGGGACTTCGGTCATTGGAAAAACTAGGCTAGAGATAATGTGAGCAGTTTGCTGCATGGAGAATTGGATTATAAGAATATTAGGCTTGTAATGGCTACTTATATTAGTATTTCTACAGAGAGAGAGAGAGAGAACCTTTGAAAAATAAATAAGGAAATGCACATGTTACCTCTTTTTGGCTTCTAGCACTTTTGGATGATCCTAATGGACTAATATTTAGCATAACCTAAAGTTGGATATAATGTGTTTTTTTCTATGTTTTATGCATCTTCATATTTTTATTATCATGCTCAAATGTGTGTTTATGAGGGGTTTCGGTTTGGTATGTGACAGAGAATGACATCAGCTCCAATCCCTAGAGCGTACGATCCCCCTCCTTTCTATGTAGGAGGAATTGGTGCTCCACCGCCAATGCCTCTAGGAATGCCAGGAAGTTATGGGCCCCCAATGCCTCTTTCTGGGATGCCTTTTGATTATGGAGCATCGAGAAGCGTCGCTGGTCCATATGGTCTCCTTTCACCATATGGTGCTCCTCCACTAGGAGGTACATTGTTCACGCGTTTACTCTCTTCCCCCCCCCCAACACACGAGCTCTCTTTTTATACTTCAGAATTCTCTCTCTCTATCAATCTCAATCTCTCTCTCTCTCTCTCTCTCTCTCTCTATTTTCAGCTTTCGTCTTCTTTCCTGCCAATTCATCTCTTCCAATTTGTTCAAGTTTACCCTTCATTCTTGCTGTGCATCCTGCCCAGTTTTCTTTTGATTTTCATGTCTTCTCTTTCTTTCTGTACAAAGTTCATCTCTCCCTCTCTCTCTCCCCTCCCCCCCCCCAAACATTTCTTTTGTGGCAAAAGTAAGTCACTTTTTTCTTCAGAATTCCCTTGTTTTCTTTACAAGAGTCAGTGATTGTCTTTTGCTCTTCCTATAGTTACCAGTCTTTTTCTATCTGTCTCTCGTATGCAGTTCTCGGTCTTTCTTCTCTTTTTATCTTCACCAGTTAATCCCCTTTCTCTCTCTCTCTCTCTCTCAAAGTTCCCTTTTGTTACTTTATTACTCCTTTCCAAATATTCACTGAGTTCTTATGAATTTTGGATCAGGCCTCGGTTATGGCCCGGGCCCTGCTATGGATGGATATGGATTCGGGTTCCGAGGGTCTCCATTGCCGGTATGCATTTACTTTTTATGCATTTTTTATGAATAAGGTTGGCTTTTCTGTGAAAAAGGGCAATATAAAAATTATGATCACTTTTTTTTGATACTGTTAACATTGCATAGATGGTTATAGAAGTACAGGACAAAACGTGACCAAGGGGAGTGACATAAGAGTAAAAATTATGATCACTGCTCAAGGGAAGTGACAAAACTGACCTTGTAGCATGGGAGAG